CTGGAAATCTACAAATATTAAATTCACAAAAAGAGAAAAAAAAATGGCTGATTGGTCAAAACTCTAGTCCCTTCCACAGTGTGGAATAATAATCATTTGTTTGAATGACATTAAAATTTTGTTATGATTGACATTTTTGTCACTTTGAATGAGTTGTAAACACCCCATGGAGATCACATTTAGCCAACTAATTATCTYGCAATGAGAGTTAAACTATTAATTTTTAAGTAGTAATTCAATAATTTTCTCGTGTATTAAAATTGTATCGACCYGTCAAYTTGAGTCTAACTCAACCACATAAATTATATATTAAAAGATTAGAGATTTTGCATACCTTTGYCAAGTATAGTTTAGCAGTTAATACTTTTTGCTCYTTCCTTAAAAGCGGGGAGTTTCATCCATCTATTGTACTAAAAAATATATATAAAAAAAACTTACCGGATAGATTTCTTTCTCTATTATTTTTCACATGTATTTTGATATGGGTGGGACAAGCCCAATAAATGTTAAAAATGTACTTTCTTTTTAACTTTAGGGCATGAATTGATAAAAGAAATAGGTGTATTTTTAAAGTTATATGTTACAAATATGAGAGAAATAATTTAAATTCATAATTTATTGAGGGACCTGCGAACGTTTAACTATTTGAGCTACATTCATGTCACAATTTTTAAAATAGTTAAACAAAAAGATGAAAGTTACACCAAAAAAAATTATTAGTGATCAGAATTTTCTACCATCTTAGAATGCGATAGGTTTGAATATTTACTCTCAGATGAGAGGATTAAAAGAAAAAGACACTAAAACTTGGAAGCAAGTTAAAGATGGCAAACTATGGATTAAAAAACTGATTTTTTTTAATAGCAAAGAGAGAGAACAATAACAGAAGTTCTTAATAGCTCGAAAGAACTTGACAAATTTTCTTTAGTAGAATTGAAGTTAGCCAGAAAAAAAAAAAAGAAGGATTTTTATGAAGCTGCGGCATCAAGCAGGTTCCATTAGAAAAAGGGGAGCAGCCGTCAAGAACAGACCCGAAGAATTATTGAGAAAGTTCCATTTAACAAAAATTTATCTTTATCATAACCATTGTTAGAGAAAATAATGGAGCAAAAGTGAGAAAAAAGAGCCATCTCCTTTTGCCTGTCCAGTAATTTTTGTGGTCAAATGAAAAAAACTGGGAATATTGCGGAAATTTTCATCTTGTTTTTCTTTTGTTTTTTAATTTCTTCCCTCTGTAAACAGAAGTTCCGATGAGGCTCTTTCGGTTTTACAGACTCGTAGGCCAAAGAAAAGAGCTGGATGGAGAAAAGGCCAAGGCCAAGTTTTCTCTCACTAATAATGCTCTCACTCTCTCAGGTTTCGAAAATAGAAACTGGGTTTTTGTTCAGCTGGCTGTGTAAAATGATTGTTTCTACTCCTCGGTGTGTTTCTAAAGAGGCGTGGTTTTGATTGGTTCAAATGCCTGCTGCTGCTGCTGCTGTTGCTTCATAACTTCTAGAGAGGAAAAACAAGTGGTTCTCCAGCCATATGTTGAACAATCTTCGAAACCAGCTGCCTCTTCTCTTCAATTCGCCTTCTGGGTTGCCTTTTTTTCCTTGTGGGGTTCTTCACAGAGCTCTGATTTTGGCGAGTTTATGACCTGTGTTGTGTAATAATTTCTGGGTCTTGCAGCAATTTCTTTTTGTTTTTTGTATTTTCGCAAAAGTACTTGCTGCAACCTGCAATTTCTACTTAGAACACTTGTATTTCGATGCACTCTTCTGCCGGAACTGGGTTTCTCAAGCTGTTGAAAGATTCATAAGTGGGGGACTCGGGAGAAAACCATGTCTCAGAATTCTAAGTTCTTTTGTTCTAAGGTCCGATTACCCGCTGGTTTCAGGGCGAAGAGAGCCAAGGAGCGTTTCCATGGGCAACGGTGGAGTAACCTTCTTTATCTATTGCCATTTGGGGTGATTTTAATTCTGGGTCTTTGGTCTATGTTTAGTTTTTGTGATGAGAACTCAGTTGGGGAAGTGGGGATACCAGATATGTGTGAAGAGAAGGCTCGGAACTTGCTGCAGCATTTCAATGTCAGCGAGAGTCAACTTCATGCTTTGGCTTCATTATTCTTTTATTCAGATCAGGTACCCTTTTCTGAGCTCTCTTATTATTTGATCTGTATTAGCTCTACTTTCACTTCCTGGATATTTTCAATCATGAGCTTTGAACTTTCCTTAAGATAAGAGTACAACACTTGATAATGTCTTTATGTGATGACATAATCAATTAGTGTTAATTACAAAAGGCATTATCAATGGAAAACCCAAAGGGAACAATGAGACTTGGCTAAGTAAAAAACTTCCAAGCTTTTGCCTTATCTTTCTTTGTACACTTTATTATTCATTTCTAACAATAAGGCCCAGAGGTTGATTTAACTGCATTAACACAGCTTCTTGGCTTGCAATTGTAAGTCAAATGCCGAAAGTTTTGGAGAGGAGAATCCAGCTCTTCTTGCCATATGGTCAATGAAAAAATAGATTATCTGTTCACTCACTTGTTGCTATACACAGAGCACAATGAGTTGGGTTCCAAGCGTAAGGAGACAGCATTCTAGATTAGAAGGTTGCTAAGTTTCTCATATGAAGAAAGATAAGTTAGGAGATTTGATAGAAAAGTTTGGCATAATGTCAACCTTCCACCTTTAAACTACAAAATTTCCTCCACGTCTCCAATGTACTCAACACCTTCTCCTCCACTAGGAACTAGCTTTCAAAATTCGAACAGTCTCAGGATTATTCCTCTATGGCATAGCTAAACAAGAAATTGGCAAGATATGAGTTGTACAGCCTCTCTCTGCTACTTAATTCATGTAATTGTTGGGTTAGTTAGCACTCATTAATGTCTTCTGTATTAATCTTTCGGCCAGAAAATGCTTCGAAGATTTTCATTCCATTCTCTTCTCCTTTTCATCCTTGCAAAAGAGCAAGATACCGTCCAGAAATTCTATGCGAGTAAAAGGTTGTCCTAGGTTTATTCCATGCTCCATCGCATATGGGACATTCACAAATATGACAAAGAAAAATCACAAAGAGGTCCCCCTGTCTCCATCTCTTTGATGCCTTGATTCTTACCCAAGCTTTTCTATTGAGAAAGATGGAAAACTTGGTTACATAAACGTATTCTTTAATCCTCTTGATCTATGTTGTCCTGAATTTCTTTCCACTCCATGTTAATTATTAATCCACTCAATTTTTGGCTGTCCATCCATTGTTTGCACTTCCAAAAAATCTTTCTGTGCTTGGTGAATGCTTTAATGCTTGAATTTGTGTAAATACCAAATAATATTTTCTCAAGTTCTCACCAAATGTGTATTGCAGACAGCATCTCTCCAGAGTGCGAAAGATCCAGGGCCTGGTATTGCATTAAAAGATTGCATTGCTTGTGCTTTAAAGATATTAGAAGAGGAGCAAGACTTGCAACGACATCATGGGTGGCTTTTTGAAAATATACAATCCAAAGGCCAGTGTCCAATAAGGGGTGAGATGGACTCCTTCAATATTGATCTATTGCAGTTAGTGGACAAAACTCGCTCACTTGCTTCACATTCTTCATTCACATTTGTGTCTCCTTGTCATCAGATTCAAAGAGAGGTTAGACTTTTGTTATTGCATATTCTCTTTTCATGTTGATGGGGTACAATGGAATTATCCCATTTCCTTTATGTTGAGAGTTGGAAAAGAGGATAAGCGTTTTATAAAGCGCTTATTGGGGAATCCAAGTGGATTTATTCCTTCAAGAAATTGTTATTCCGTAAATTTTTGGATGGACAACAAATCAGCCAAATCCAAGCAAACTTGAACGAGAAGAAATGTACTGAATTTAGTGCATTACCATGTTTCCAGTAATATTAATTTATCCCTTGTGTTTTCACTTGCCCTGTGCCAATGGGACTTGGGTAGTCAGTCTGTAATCTTTTTCTGTTCAATTGCGATCTTGCACCTAACATATGCTAATAAGCAACGCTTTTCAAAATTAGATGCTTTTTTAGTACCTTTACAACGTAGTAACCTTTTAAACTTCTCTTTCTCAGGCGGGAACTTGCTATCCTGTAATTATCTGTTTATAAGCTTAAGAACTTTAAAATGCTGAAATATACTTGAATGATGATTTAATTTATTGATTCATTTATTTTTCTGGCTTTCACCAGAAGGTCTTGCATACTAGGGAAATTGGAAATGAGCATTCTCGAAGTTTGAATGGTTTAATAATGGCATGCTTATGGATCCTTGCTGTAGTGATATCATGCCTGAAGATGTCTAGTTTTCATTTGAAATTAAGGAACCATAAACACAAGCCAATAAAGCATCCATCGGTCGAGAATCAGCCAGTGATTCAGCTGCAGCAGGTCTTGCTTCAGCAGAAGCAGTTAGATCTATCTCCAAGTCATTCTAAAGGGGCTGGAAAATGGAGAAAGAAGCTTCTTATAATATTTGTGATACTTGGGATTATTTCATCCATTTGGCTCTTTTGGTATTTGAACAACAAAATCATCTTTAGGAGAGAAGAAACACTTACTAACATGTGTGATGAGCGAGCGCGAATGCTACAAGATCAATTCAATGTTAGCATGAACCATGTCCATGCCTTGGCTATTCTGGTTTCCACTTTTCATCATGGAAAACATCCTTCTGCTATTGATCAGGCAAGTGATTATCTATCTTTTTTGTTATTGGATCATTACTCGGCTTTTGAATCAATGATGGCAAATTCCTATTCACACAACTAAACTGTGTAATTAATTTATGAGTTTTTTCATATTAATGTAATAATGTCTAGATCTTAAATGTACTCTCTTTCCCACAGGAAACATTCAGTGAGTATGCAGAAAGAACGGCTTTTGAACGACCTCTAACCAGTGGGGTGGCTTATGCTTTGAAAGTTAATCATTCAGAAAGAAAGCAATTTGAAGAGGAACATGGGTGGACAATTAAGAAGATGGGAACAGAGGACCAGACTCTAGGCCAGGACTGTATTCCTGAGAATTTAGATCCTGCTCCCTTTCAGGATGAATATGCACCTGTAATATTTTCACAAGAAACTGTATCACATATAGTTTCCATTGACATGATGTCTGGAAAGGTATGCTGTAATGCCTATTATGGTATATTCCATGTTCCTGTCTATGTAGCAGCCTCTTAAGATGGGAATCGATGAAACCTATCTTTTAGAAGCTCAGTCTCGCTAAAATATTACATTCTATTAATAGGAAGACCGCGAAAACATCTTGCGAGCAAGGGCTTCAGGGAAGGGAGTTCTGACATCTCCTTTCAAGCTACTTAAGTCCAATCACCTAGGTGTTGTGCTCACTTTTGCTGTCTATAACATCGACCTTCCACCCGATGCAACACCAGAGCAACGTATTGAAGCTACTGTTGGGTACTTAATCTCCTTTGAACTTTGTTTTTTCTGGGTGATTTTAGTAGTTTACTGATTTTTTTCCCAATAAGAGATATAGTGATGTCAAATTAATCACAAAGAGGCACAAAAACAACTTAAGTGCGGGAAGTGGAGGGGAACCTCTCCCAAAAAGAATTAGAAAAAAGCTACGTCAAAGCCTTCCATTCAATACATAATCATGAGAAGGTGGTGTAGACTAAAGATCAAATCTTATTAATGAATAAATTCCTTTCAAAGATACAAGGGCCTCTTATTTATAGGAAGAAGGCCACGGTAAAAGGATAGTAATCCAACAGTAAAAGCCTAACTGCCCCAAATAACTAAACTAAACTAACTTAAGTAGAGTTAGTCACATCAATTTCCCTCCTCCTTTAAAAGGAACTCGACCTCGAGTTAATTTGCCAAGCTAAACGAATCCGGTGCAGCATAAGGGTAGATATCGAATACATTGAAGATTGGGTTGATGTTATATTCTGGAGGTAGCTTGATTTTGTATGCATTAGGACCATATTTCTTCAAAACTTCAAAGATACAAGGGGATTCCAAAAAAAAGATACAAGGGTAGACATCAGAAAGTTACAAGTAAAGAGAATTTTTTGCGGTTTCAGCACCCCCACGAAGAAGTGTGTTATACACTATTTCAAAAAAATGTGAAATTGTCTTGCAAAACCCTAGATTTGTGGTAGTCCCCGTGGCTAGTTGGGGATAGCTTAGCTTTGTAGTTTTTTGAATTTTTGTGTATATACTTACAAGCTAAACTCTCTTATGATTGACTGACTTGATCAAAAGGTATCTAGGAGCATCCTATGATGTTCCATCACTGGTGGACAAGCTTCTTCACCAACTTTCCAGTAAACAATCAATTATGGTTGATGTTTATGATACAACTAATGCATCTGCTCCCATCAAGATGTATGGATCAGATGTGACTGATACTGGTCTATTGCACATAAGCAACGTGGATTTTGGAGACCCCCAAAGGAAGCATGAGATGCATTGCAGGTAATATTTCATTGTTAATTGTATATGCATCTACGAGCGAACACTTAATTGTTCAGTCTTTTGGAACGCTATTTGTTAACCTGCTTACAGATTTAAGCAGAAACCTCAATTACCATGGATGGCCATCAATGCATCAGTGGGAGTCCTAGTTATCACTTTACTTGTTGGTCATATATTTTATGCGGCCATAAGTCGAATTGCGAAAGTGGAGGATGACTATCGTGACATGATGGAACTCAAAAGTCGTGCCGAAGCTGCAGATGTGGCAAAGTCTCAGGTGAGTTTAATTTTGAGTGATATTAATGCACTGATGTCTGTGAATGTTCAAATATAACATGAAGAGATATACCATTCGTTTCTGTTCATTTCTACATGTTTCTGGATAATGAACTCTTCTCCTTTTGTAGTTTCTTGCAACAGTTTCTCACGAGATTAGGACGCCAATGAACGGGGTTTTAGGTAACTGAGATTCATTTAGTTAATATTTTTCATTTGGCCAAACCAGGAACCTGGAGTAATAGTCCCTTTTGGGGGGAAAAAATCATTTTTCAGGGATGCTGAAAATGCTGATGGACACTGAGCTTGACCCAAACCAACTGGACTATGCCTTGACTGCATATGAGAGTGGGAAGGAATTAATATCACTAATAAATGAGGTTCTTGATCAGGCTAAAATAGAATCAGGCAGGCTTGAACTCGAAGATGTACCATTCGATCCACGTGCTTTACTGGATCATGTGCTTTCAATGTTTTCTGGAAAATGTAATGAGAAGGGGATAGAGGTAAAAATAAAGTTATCAACTTTTTTTTCCAGTTTCTATTAACATGATTTTGATATACTACTTCTGTAACATTTTGATGGGCGATTTTTTTTCATGAGAGCAGTTAGCTGTTTATGTCTCTGATCTGGTCCCTGAAGTTCTCATTGGTGACCCGGGGCGCTTTCGGCAGATAATTACCAATCTTGTGGGAAATTCAATTAAGGTTATTTATACCAACTCCACTTGATAGATGGATTGCTTTAAAGAAATGCAATATATGCAGTTCAATCTCTTGTTTGAATTATGCAAGACTGGAGAGCTCTTCTTTTGTAGTTCTTGGGAGGGGGATCCCTCTTCCCCTGCCCTTACGCTGTTTTTTTGTGTTTCTATGCTTTTGCTAATACAAAGTTTCTTATCCAAAAAAAAATCTCTTGCTTGAATTCATGTTACCAAAATTGTAGTTGGTGATTTTCTATCCTTTATGAGCAGTTCACAAACGACAAAGGACACATATTTGTAACTGTACACCTGGCAGATGAAGTGAGGACTCCACTTGATGCAATGGACAATGTGCTGAGACAAAGCTTAAATCTAGTACAAGAGATGCCGAGAAAAAGTCACAATACATTAAGCGGGTTTCCAGTGGTCGAAAGGTGCAAGAGTTGGGAGCATTTCAAGATATTTAGTAGAACAGATGCAATGAAGGAGCATGACATGATTAAATTGCTTGTATCAGTCGAGGATACAGGTCATGGAATTCCTTTAGAAGCGCAAAATCGAATTTTTATGCCTTTTATGCAAGCTGATAGTTCCACGTCGCGCAAGTACGGTGGGACTGGAATAGGTCTGAGCATCAGCAAATGTCTGGTGGATCTAATGGGTGGAGAGATAGGTTTTGTGAGCCAACCTGGTGTTGGCAGCACATTTTCATTTACAGCGCGTTTGAGCAAAGGCGATATGATGTCTCTTGATACGAAGTGGCAGCAGTATGATCCAGCGACATTAGATTTCCGAGGACTGCGAGCATTGGTAATAGATAATAGAAGCATTAGAGCTGAGGTAACAAAATATCATCTCCAGAGGCTAGGGATATTGGTGGATATAGTTTCAGGTCTGGTTTCAGCACATGAATACTTGACCAATATTTGCATCAAAAGGTATAATCCTCAGCCTCTTAGCATTACTTCTTGAGTTTCAAGTTGAATTTTTTTTTATATAAATTTGACATCCATTATTTTATTACCATTCTTTATGTATTTCTCCTTAGTCCATCCAAGCCTTTGGCCATGGTGCTTATTGACAAAGACGTTTGGGATAACAATACCGGTCCCAGAATCCATCGCGTATTTAGAGATCATGGCATAATTGGCAAGGAAGAATCAACAGAAAGTCCTAAGATCTTTCTCTTAGCTACCTGCCCTCAAGAGATGGGCGATCTCAAATCCGCCGGTTACGTCAATAATATAATGAGAAAACCCCTTCGGTTGGGCGTCTTGATCGGATGCTTCCAGGAAGCATTTGGAAGCAGCAAGCATAAGAAGGTAAACAGAAAGAAACCGTCTATTCTCGGGACGTTACTGAGAGAGAAGCAAATATTGGTAGTCGACGATAATGCAGTTAATAGAAGAGTTGCAGAGGGTGCTCTAAAGAAATACGGAGCAAAGGTTACCTGTGTGGAAAGTGGTAGAGCCGCTCTTTCATTGTTGCATCCACCACACAAATTTAATGCTTGTTTCATGGATCTTCAGATGCCTGAGATGGATGGGTAAACAATTTTCAATTCTTCAGAAATTTATATTCTTTTGTTCACTTGACATAACATGAGTGATTTTAATCAACTAAAAGCAGTTTGGCAATAGTACTTTTAAATGGATTTAGAGGAGCCATTTGGTAATTTTTTTCGAAAAAGTACTTGCCGAAAAAGTGTTTCATATGCTCAGGTTCCTGAGGATGAAATGATATGAATAATTGTGTATGCATATGGTAATATTAGTTCATTCAAGTAGTTGACATAATATCTATTTAACAGTTGATTTTGGTTGTTGAACAGTCTCTTGTCATCCATATGAAATTCTGAAGACTTTTAACTTCTTGAATTGTACCCATTGGTTCGGTTCATGATATAAACTTGCATTATCATTAAGAGTATATCTTTAATGATAATACTTCTTTGACAAGCAGGTTTGAAGCGACACGGCAGATACGAAATATTGAGAATAAGGTTAACGAGGACATTGCTTCTGGGAAAGCATCAATCGAGACATTTGGGAATGTGGCTCATTGGCACATTCCAGTCTTGGCCATGACAGCTGATGTAATCCAGGCTACAAATGAAGCATGCATGGAGTGCGGGATGGACGGTTATGTCTCAAAGCCTTTCGAAGAAGAACAACTATATTCAGAGGTGGCACGTTTCTTCGAGTCCGAGGGTTGAGTAGAACATGAATGGAATGACTATTCTGAGTTGAGTGTTCCAGTCAAGATATGGCTCCTATGTTTCATATAGGGGGATGGAGATTGACTCTAGTAATGTGAGTTGCATCTGATTAAAGGCCATACTAGAACGATGCATTGGGTAGAATCATCTCGAGAACATCCTGATCTTTCTTGTTGGGTAAGTATTCTGCATTATGTTGATACTGTTCTAGCAAATTTTGTTTTGCTGCAATCACTCTAGATGAAGTTCTTCTGCTTAAGCTTTTCCTGTGCAAGTTGGTTTTAGTTTCATTATATCATCTTCCAAAAATGATAAAATTGTGAATCTTTTGATGCCTTTTTCAGCGACAAGATTCGGTTCGGGTCAGAGATGAATGAAGGATATCTGGATATTGAAGGATCATCGGAGAGCCTATTGTCGACAAACTGGTAACTTCATGTATAGATCCTTCTTGCCTTATCTTATTTTAGTTAGTTTTACATCTTGTCATGAATGAAATGAAATTTTATTTCTAAAACTTTGGCAGTGATTCCCATATTTTGCCCAGGCTAGGACTACAATAGTACAGTAGCCGATTGATCTCGTCACTCCCTTCACATTGGTTCATCCTGCAAAATCTTTGGCCATTGCGAAAGGTGATTGGCCAAAGAATCTACTTGACATCTCAGTTGCAAGATTGGATAATCTACTTGACATCTCAGTTGCAAGATTGGATAATCTACTTGACATCTCAGTTGCAAGATTGGATACCCGCATCAGATCAAAGTTCCATTTATGTACACAAATGCAGGGATCATTCATTCGAGCAAATGTCGATCATATGTGTAGAAGATTGGCACTCCAAACAAGAATCAGCTTCACAGATTTCATGAAGGCCATGAATGATGAATGGTTATCATCCTACCAATACTTGGATCCTAATTCTTTGATACTTCAGAAAGTACAAGGGAGCTTACAAGGTGAATAGAAGTACAAAAGTCTGTACCAAACTCTCGATACAGTTCTCAAAATTTCATGGCTGAAATGGGAACTAAATCCCGATAACGAACTAGCTAGAATCATTTTCTAAATGCATGATAATTTAGAACCAAGGGAGAATTCGTTTGTACAGCTGAATACTTGTTTCGCATTCTTAGACAGCTTGCGGATCTTGAATCTTCACAGAAGTTATTTATACTGTAAGAGTTCCAGAAATCAAGTGCAATTTAGTTAAGAGTGTGTTCAAGTGTGCATAGGCATGAAAGTGGAAATTCTTGGTTGATATTCTACAACTTTTGTTTTCAAACAGCAGTACTATAAACCTACTTAATATCAAGAATCATCACATAAATTACATCAATAGGGTTAAAAATGACAGACTAGAGACAATTCTAGGACCCAACCCAAGCATATTGGTAATACTTAGCTTAGTTTTAACAGCTATCTTTTATTAAGTGCTCTGAAAACCTACACGTTTAATTTTATTTTACCAGTTTAATTAATTTATACAAACTAGTTGATCCAACTATTGTGCTATATCTTGATCTGGGACTATTATTAGGTGTCTTGATTAATCTGATACAAATTGGAACCAGGAATATGCGAACTTAGCTTTCAATTGCTACTTTCAGCTGCTGCTTATTTTGGCCACTCCCAACTCCTGAACTGGAATTTACCACCATATCGAGGACTATGCCATCACTTGCTTCTGTCGCACGCGACTTGCCATTCTTTTCAATTAATTTGCCTTCAGAACCTGAAAAAGGAAGAGAATTGTGCTTGAGACAATAATATTACAAATCTCTGATTCATCTTCTACACCTATACTCGGTTACTCACTTGAATTGATTCGAGGATCCTTACTAGCACGAACCACCATGTCATGGCCAGCAGGACCACCGACCGATTTTGTTTTCTTCTCATCATTATGGGGTGGTGTGCAAATGCCTGGCCCAGCTGAGTTCAATGTCACGGTCCTTGCAGGAGGCATATCATGGTCATGCTGACCCTCGTACGTGGTAAGCACCACTTTGGGGTCATGAGACGCCCTCTCTACATGTTTCTTAACTGGGCATCCAGGACTTGAACATCTGTAGTAACTCCTGCACAAAATAATAGCACAATTAAACGCAGTTTGTATTCACTGGAAACTTGATATTTCTACTTTTTTTTTTTTTGGGATAAAGAAACGATTCATTAGAGAAAAAGGACACAGAAACAGCCTAAGGGACAGGGGACAAGGGCCGAGAAGACCCCTCCATAAAAGAAACTAACACAATAAGGCTCTCCAGCCTTATAGAGAGGCTGTAGTTACAAAAGAATTTCGTATTCCTATGGCACCACCATGATATGTACACTATTACAAAACAAGTGTACATTGTAATAGTGTACATGGAAAATGTGTATTCAAGGCCTAAACACAAGTAGCTTTCAAGTTTATATTATACACCGATGGGACGGCCTCAAACCAGACATGGAAAATGCTCAAAAGAATGTATATTGCTTCACCAATACATAAGAGGCGAGAGACCATGAAAAGAAGAGGGCTGCCAGGTAGAATTCAAAAGTATCCCTTGGCATATCCTCATTATCTCAGGGCTGAAGATATAAATGCATAAAACTCTCCAACTTGTTAACTACATTCAATCTTAGACAGCATTTTGAAATGGATTAATCAATACCTAGGATTTGGATTGCCTTTCACTAATTTCTGTCCATACTTCCGCCAGCGATACCCGTCATTGACAATGTCAACCTCGCTAGGAGTTTGAACAACGACGCGAGGTTCGACTGTTGACTTGTCAGCTACTGTCACGTCAATATTACATCTTTTCTTCCTTTTGAAACTAATTAAGTGTTAGTTCACAAATGTACTAATAAAGAAAACAAAAAACAGTCAGTGCTTTAGCGTACTCTCGTTTCAAGTCTGGAATTTCATCACTGTCATCCTCATCATTAATCCTAGACCTTTTTGAAACTTCATCTTTTACATTATCACTGGCTGCGACCGATGACAGTTGAAGCGTATCAGCCGGTTCAGTTTGATGAGGTGGCTGACCAAGCGCAATGGAGGCCTTATCTTCAAGTACCGAGGCAATAGAATAAATCAAACTTCTGAATATAACCAAAACAAAATATGAATTACACAGTTTCTTTCTTACCTTGAGAACTTCCAGAAGCATGATCATCGGGTTTTTCTACAACCATGGTAACCAGTCCAACAGCAACCGGAATATGATGTTGAGGTTTAGGGTGATCATGCTGACCAAAGTAAACAGTGTCTGTAATTTTCCCATCATGAGTGCGCTCCAGTTGTTTTTTCACCATGCAAGTTGGAAACGTGCATCTGTAATAGCTTCTTACAAAGACATTTCCCTTTACGAGTTTCTGACCATATTTTCGCCAGTTATACCCATCCTCTGATACTTTCTCTCGTACTGTAGGAGTAATACTTCCCTTCAAATCAGGATGTGAGTCCTGGTCTGCAGTAATCGGGTTACGGGTCACTTTCTCAGACACTATATTGGAGATGCCCCCTTGATCCAATTGTTCGATCGAAACATCAGGCTGCCTGACAGCTTCTTCAAGTGTCTTCTTGGCATCCGCAGAGTATTCGTGATCTGATTTTGATTCATTAGTTCCACTAGGGTCCTCCTGAGACACTTGCGGTTGACTGTCTGAACTGTGTTCATGCTCCAATCTATCAGAATCAACTTCATTTTCTATTTGGTCCCCCGAAGAAACCATATGCACAAGTGAGCTTAGATCATAAGCCAGAGAACTCTAAACAACTCTTGTTCCTCACACTTCGATTGATCCAGGAACTGAATGCCACGTCCAGCTGAATACTGAAAATTGATAAGAAATGCAATAAAAAAAATGTACTAAACGTCATTTCAGGACTTGCTTGCCTCCGTATAACCGAAAATCCAGAGGCCGAGGAGGTTTGAAGATTGCATGCATACTAAATCAACATCGCTAAATTCATGAATTATGACGTTTCGAATGTGAATACCTAATAGCCAAGAACCAAAAAGTGGAAACTACGGTGTTGATTTAAAATACCAATTTTTCTTAGAGAAGTAAGATCGACTTTGAAAATATTAAGTATATAAACCAAAATATTGAGCATTTAAAAGTCTAGGGAAGAGCAACAAGATATATTATTCAATTAACGGGTTAATCTCAATTCTCAATTAATGACCAAAAACATTTCTATAGAAAAAGAATATACATGGAAATCGAGTTCAGTGCACAACAATCCACCTGCACACCATACGATGAAATCCACGAGGCGAACAAAACCATCGTCCTCGAAGTAAAACTTTCACTCCTAATTAGCTTACAAATAGCAGAAAAACAATTAGTTACTACTAACTTCATCCAAAATAAGTAGAGTCCAAGCAGGCTCAGCTCGAGTTGCGTTATTAGATCGCCAGGTTCCAGTACTGATCAGAATTATTAAGATCCAAATTACCAAACTCCGACTTAAATTTCAGAAACAAGAAAAAAAAAAAGAATAAAAACAGCCACAATCAGTTAATCATATACTTTTTACGAAATCGCAACGACGGTACCGAGGTTAATAATTCATACACAAAAGTAAAATAGACACAAAAAACCAAAAAAGAAAAGAAAAGAAACCTCCACCTTAGAGCTCGCTGAAGCCTCGAAGTTTCAAGCCCTAGAAAAGCACACAGGTGTAGTAATTTCACGTGGAAACACAGAATTGCGCCAGAAAAGAGCCAGGGGAGTTATTATCAGTCCGGCCTCGGAATTCGAGCGGGCGAATCAGAAGTGAGAAAACCGAGCGAAGTCAGTGGAGAAGGAGTTGAAGGTGTGAGATACAGAAGCCAAATCCATCGTCGAAGGAAGAAGAGAGGAGAGAGAAGAAGCCGCCGGTGAGGAGGAGGAGGAAGAGAGGGAAGGAATTGAAGCAGCGATTGCTCCGGCGGAGAGCCGTCCGATGAAGTTCCCGGCGTAGTTGATAACAGCTAAGAGCATATTCTATGGCCGTTGTTTGGTAACGCACAAGCTTCCGCTCTAAATTCCTTGATGCTATGATTTATATATTAATAATTTACTGCCCTATTCTATCTACTAATATTATCCTTCCAATTTACATTCATTATTCTTTTTGTTTTTTATTCAATTCTTTTAATATGGTTTAAATTCTATTTTTGTTCCTATACGATTTTGGTTCGTTTTAGTCTAACGTACTCTCAAATTTTGTTGTTTCTAAAACGTCTTTTTTTTTTAAATTACTATTTTGATAGTCCTTAATACAAATTTATCTACCTTTTAAGAAATGTTGTTGAGAGAGATGATATAAAATGAAAATGAAGAGATAAAAATGGCTCCTATTCTATCTAAAACGAACCTTTTTGAAAGTTTTTTAAGGACTAAAATAGATATTTTGAAAGGACTGATATCAAAATGGAAAAGTACTGGGACAAAAATAAATTTTTAACTAAAATAATATAAATTTTAATTCATAAATAACTATTTATCAATTCTTTCAGAACAACAGCCGGCGTCAATTTTTTTAGTACATGTGGAGTTGGAATCAAATTTACAACCTTTTGATTTGAGATATATTCTAATTATCATTGGACTATACTTTAATGTGCACCCGATTTTTTATTTATTGTTGGGTAAGGTAATATTTGATTCATAGAACTATCCATTTTAAATGACTTTGTCGAAAAATCAAAGGGTTGTGTTTTGGATGCCTAACCCATGCTTGAGGCATGAGTTTTATTTTTCTTAGTTTTCACTTTCAATATTGACAATTTTAACAACTAAATAAGCAAAGTAAAAAGTAATAAGTTTAAAATTATTGATTAATTTGTGAAAGTTCTTTGAATCGAATGACAATATATGAAGTAGTAATTGAAGCGTCCATATAATATAACAAAAAACTTGTGAGCTTTTAAAATTGGTGGAACCTGAAATTTTCATGAGACGTAATTGGTTGAATCAAAGTGAACAATAAAAAAATATATATATATATAGGGTGACCACAAGAAATCACCGAGAATAATTACAAATAAAATACATTAGGAACAATATATCTAATAAATAATTTACTAGTGCTGAGATGAGATCACGGAATCATATTTTTATAGTGGATATGATTCAACTGGTTAACACACCAATCTCATTAAAAGGTTATGATTTCGAATATTTCATCCTAACAAATTCTCCTGAAAAACAAAATTTATCAAATTGAAGACTACGTTGAAAAAGAAAAAAAAACACCTTAAATATTATAGATGGTTTTTATCTACATGACTTTGTTTAATATGAATTTAATTGAGTCTTTCGTACTAAAATTTTTAGGTTCGTGCTTGAAAATTTAGAGTCGTTTTATAATATTTTTATTTATTATTTATGGTTGTTTTAAAAATAAAACATAACTGCATTTGCAGCATTTAATTTTATATATCACGTACAAAATTTGTACCATAAAAAAGACATATTTTTTCAATCCAAGTTACATTCAAGTTTTTGAATTTTTATTTTTATTTTATTATTGTGTAAAGTTTTTTCTTTTTAAATTATCAATAAATTTGGTTACATCATGTTTTTACAATGGAATTAAATTGAATTTAAATAAATAAATTGTATTATTATATATATAACATTATTTGATTATACGGATTTTTGGATTAGTCCATTGAATTGGTCCAAATATGGTCCAAACAGATCAAGTTTGAATCAGGTCGAGACTAGTCTTGAGCCAACTTTTAGACTTCGAGGTCGGTGACGAAGTTGAATGACATATTTTAAGTACAATCATAAGATAAACAAGAGCTTAAGATACTCTTACAGAAACAAAGTTTAAAAATAACAGAAAAATATATATACGTTTTTATACATTCAGTATTAAGTTTAGAATTTTATAAAAATAATATAAATTGCAAACATTATAATCACGTGAGACTATCCAGAGTACAAAAATCTTCCTTTTTTTTTTTTGAAAAATAAAAGCAATTATATTTTTACAATTTCATATTTGTTTAAAATTTCGAAGAAACTTATGTAAAACAAATTTAAAACTTGACCAATTTTATAGGATTCGAATGGGATTTATCGATTTATAATATTTTATTTTCATTTGTTCATCTATCACATCTTTTGGAAATTAGACACCCACGGCCACGTTAAGAGGAAAAAAAAAATATTAGGGAGCAACTGGAAATTTATAAAACTTCAGGGCCTTTATGCAAATAAAATTTCTTCAGGCGCGTATCGCAAACTATTCACAGTGACAGATGAGTCGGTGGCGGCTTCGAAATTTGCTTCGTTAAAGAAATCAAATATTCCAAAATCGCGTTGGGCTGATCCCCCAAACCCTAGAGAGACCATAAAATTTTCCCAATCTTCTTCGGAAAGTCGAGTTTTTCTTTCGATTTATTCAAGTTTTCTGCTCGAATTTGTTGTTCTTGCTCTCCAATCATGCTTCTTTCTCCGGGTCATTCTCCTCGACACGTCTCGTCCCCTTCGCCTTCGACGGTTTCTGAGAATGCAATCCAAAATCCGCAGAGTTCGTCTCCGATTACGCCTCAGAGCTCTAGGAAACATCCCAGGGTTCTTGATGAGGATGCATATGTGGAAGCGATAGAGAAGATCATCGAGCGTGATTACTTCCCCGACATCTCGAAGCTCCGGGATCGTCTCGATTGGCTGGAGGCGATTAAAAGTGGAGACCCGATTCAAATTCGAGATGCGCAGTTGAAGATCATGGAGCGCCGTGGCCAGAAGGTCAGACGTTCGAACCCTGATGGTAAGTCCCAAACACCTGGTTCCACCTTTATGAGAAATTTTACCCCTTTCGATGAATTTGAGGGTAAAACCCCGAAAACCCCCGGCTTTGGTAGAACTGGAGTTGCCGGCGAAGCGGGGGAGGGTGATCTTGAGGGTAAGGTGGTGGATGAATCGTTGTCGCTGGATGAGTTTTTTAGGCAGTATACAAGCGAGGATAGTTTTAGTTTTTCGAAAATCCTGGACAAAGATAACCGGAAGAGGAAGGAGAGGTACGCGTATTTGACTGAGGGCGAAAAGGAGGATGTGAAGTCAATTGAGGATGCGAAGAGAGATAGAATAACTGATGGTTACGGGACTTCCAATCAGCCGCCGAGTACCTTGGAAGGATGGAAGTATACTGCAAAGAATTTATTGATGTATCATCCATCTGACCGAGGCGAGGCTCCGCTGACTGAGGACGAAGTGGCAGTTAGAATGAAGGGCCTTACCAAAGAAATTAGCCTCACAAGTACTCGGTTCCATGGTAAACTGATGGATTCAAGGCCAAAGGACGATGGTACAGTTGAAGTGCTTTATACCCCAGTAGCTGGAGCAACTCCACACCCCGTGCTGGATAGAGATGGGGATAAATCGAAGAAATATGATTTGGAGAATTTTAGGAAGACCCCAAATCCATTTTATGTTGAATCAGGTAAAAAGGCTGAGAATGGCTACAGTTTTGTGCGAACTCCGTCACCTGCACCTGGTGTTGATGAATCTCCCTTTATTACATGGGGAGAAATTGAAGGAACACCCCTGAGACTAGATCCTGAGGAGACGCCCATTGACATTGGTGGTTCTGTTGACGGACCACGTTATAGCATTCCATGTCCTCCTGTAAGAGATGAGAAGGCTCATTCACTTTCAAGGGAGGCAGCACGAAAACTGAGAGAGAAGTCGAAGATGTTTCAGAAGCCACCCTTGCCATCATCTGTTAGAGGAGGTAGTGCTAGCCCAAGTGTACGGAGGACCCTCTCTCCAGCCGCCCAGAAATTCGTAAGGAATGCAATTGCCAAGTCGTCGTCCTCATTTGATGAGACCCTTCGTGCCAGTTACAGAGGTGGAAGCCCGAGTTTGGCGACTCCTAAAAGCGGGAGGAGTTTGTCTAGATTTGCTAGAGATGGGAGTTTTGGCTCTAGGTCACCTTCTGTTAAAGAAGGTTCTAATCCTGCTTGGTGATGTAATTTTTCCATTCAATATAAATGCTTCATGTATACTAACAATTCTGTCTTTAAATCCTTTCCTTATATAATTTTTATTTTGTAAGTTCTACAACCTAATGTAAAGAGGCGGGTGAATATGTTGGATATTAGAAAACTAATGAACCACCGATTTGATAGTCTGGATTTGGAATGTTAAAATATGCCTCATCTGACGCTGGGGATATCGTTTCTGCTTTTACTTTCTGTAATATCATTGAGAAGTTTACATTGATCCGATCAAATTTCCAGCTTTCAATTTCAAAGAACGGGGATCTCGAGCTGATGATTAAATTAACCGTAACTGTCAACTTGTCACACTGCACTGGAAGGGCAGTTTCATCTTTTGAGAAACGTGTATTGTAGTTAAATGCAGGGAATTTTCTGTTGAGAACTAGTGAATGAACACGAACTCCGGTTGGCACAGATTCACAGGATTATCAGATTAGTTTTTGTATTATATATATGCTGTTGTTTTCTTTTCCCCAATTTTCTATTCAGTGCTTGATGGATGACAGAAAGAATCTTGCCTTTGAAGTTATAAGGTAGCGTAATATGTAAAGGAGGCATTGATTATTATTAAAGAATTTGTACAGTATCTCACTCTGCAGTGAACTTGACAAAAGTAAGTTTTGGGATTGAGAAAATGCTGCCTGCGAGAAAGCAAGCGCCACCCTCCTTCCAAAGCCTTCTCCCGAGCTTTCAGAAGCCGTGCCGTCTTGGGTGTGTTAGCATTTGCACCAAAACTTCTTCCACAATTTAACTCTTTCTCATTATTATTTAATCTCTTTGCTCATGATTCTTTTTCCCAGGTTTTTGCTCTCCGTCAGATCTGATTCATCTCCTCAAAAATGCAAAAGTTATAGTAAATGAAAGAGTACAAAAGGATAGCGACGAAGAGAACCCAAAATTTGGTTCACATGACTAGGGAAAGAGGGAGAAGTTACGCTTATTCTAATGGCCGAGGCGTTTTAGAAGTTCAAGAATTCAACTTTTCAGCAACCGAGAACGTTTTTGAAGCCTTGAAATATGGATACGGAGATTGCACTCGTGTGCATTTGACTTTTGACTTGGAAGGAATAAAAACTGCACGAATGTGTGTGGACAGACTTGTACATTTTTCCTCTTTTCTCTCTTCCATTCTCCTAATTTCACACTGGTTTAGGGATTCTAGAAACTTTGGTTGTACTTATTTCTTCGATTCGTGAGATGGGTTCCTGCCATTTATGGCCATAAGAAGGCATAACGTTATTCACTATCAGAATTTGCTTCCCTTCAAAGAATCCCCCAATTCACTTGACTCTCAAAACTTCATAATTTCTGGTTTGAAGGTCCTCTAGGAGCTCTGTTGATGGCAGTGATCAGTCCCAAAGTCAGCTCAGTGGCCTCTAGTCCTTTCACTTCACCGAACATTGGGGTCTTGCTCAAGATCAAGATCATTTCATGGTTGGATTCACTGTTTTCTAGATTTTGTTGCTTCATCTTTGATTTTGCCTTGATTTCTAATCAAGGGGTTTATGTTTTAGGAGCCAGGAAACTGGTTTGCCTGTTTCTATTCGGATTCGGGTTGGCGATAGAACCTTCAACCTGCATAAGGTAAAGATGAATCTGGTGGATGTTTTTTGGGATGTATTTCAATGGAGATCACTCTCTTTTTTCCTTTTTTCTGTTCAAAAGCCTCGTTTCCTTACCTCAACCTCACCCTTTTTCTTTATATTCAACTCTTGAAAGCAAAGAAGAAAGAAATGAGAATATTAACTTTAAGCATGTCTATTGTCACTTTTGCAGCATCCTCTCCTGTCAAAAAGTGGATACTTCCAGAAAAGGTTGAACGAATCGACCGAGTACGAGCTCCCTCCAGACTTCCCCGGTGGACCAGAGACCTTTGAGTTACTTGCACTGTTCATCTATGGTTCCTCTACTCTCGTTGATCCTTTTAATGTCGCAGCCCTACGATGTGCTGCAGAGTTTCTTCAAATGACAGATGATTACTGTTCTGGTAACCTATGCGAGCGATTTGATATCTATTTGAATCAAGTGGTCTTCCAAAGCTGGGATGATACACTGATCGTTCTCCAAAAGTGCCAACAATTGCTTCCCTGGTCTGAAGAGTTATTAATCGTAAGTCGCTGCATCGAATCTCTTGCCTTCATGGCTTGCATGGAGATCCTTGACCCTGAGAGAAGACGAGACCGACCAGTCGTAACAATGGACGCATTGGCGAGTCAGGTTTGGAGCTGTGAAATAGTGAAGGAAATCTTGTGCCAGGATCTTTGGATCAAGGACCTCATTGCTCTACCATTTGAATTCTTCAAAAGAATTGTGGGATCCCTGAGAAGACAAGGCATGAAAGAAAAATATGTGAGCCCGATCATCGTTTTCTATGCTAACAAATGGATTCTTTCCGAGAAGACGCGCCAGTTCTGGGAGAGTACTGATGAGAAGATTCTGGATGATGAAACAAATGAAAAGGTTTCATTTATCTTACAAGGTCTTCTTGATCTTCTGCCTATGGGACAGAGGACCAGTAGAGTGGTTCCAGTGGGCTTTTACTTTGCCTTGCTTTCAAAATCTCTTGAAGTTGGTCTCAAGAGTAACAGCTTGCAAAAGTTGCAAGATCAGATAGCAACTGTGTTACAATTTGCCCAAGTGGAAGACTTTCTCCTACCGAAAACTGGAGCAGACTCGGTTTCATCCGGCATCGAGTTAGCTATGATGGAGAAGATATTAGAGTCATTTGTATCTTCCAACATGAAGATGAATCATAGTCACTCAGGAAGCAACTCAGTTGTAGCAGAGTTGTGGGATGAATATCTAACCTACATAGCTCATGATCCGAAAATGGGACAAAAAAGATTCGTTGAACTCATCGAAAAAGTGCCTGCATCGTGGCGCGAGAATCACGATCACCTTTACCGGGCAGTAAATACATTCCTGCAGGTAAACTTTGATGAACTTAACATTCTTCATGACATAACCCTTCATAATATGTTTACAAAACCCACACTCTCATGTGCCTACACCAACAAACTGGATTCTGCGCACTGCTGAGTGCTCGAGGATCGAATACAAATAATTTTCACGCATGAATGTTACTTGATAACAATAAGCCTTCATTTTTTGTCAACTATCTTCTATTTTGGAAAAGGATCCAGCTCTTAATTGTCAAAAACCTGGTGTCTATATTTTGTTCTGTAGGCACAGTCACATCTGTCCCAAGAAGAGAAATGGGCAGTCTGCAAGTACCTAAACTGCCAGAAGCTATCACAAGATGCATGCATTGAGGCTGTCCAAAATGAGTTGATGCCGCTTCGTTTGATCGTCCAGGCACTTTTCGTGCAGCAATTGAATACTCAACAGGTGTTTAAAGAGTGTTCAGGCTCATTTCGATTTGCACGTTATGGAGAATTCTCTGGGAGCCTTTCAAGCTCTAGATTTCCGAACTCAAATAGCCAGACCCTACGAGAGAGTCCTTATACAGATGGAGCTGATCCGAGCAGAAGAACGTTAAGCTTCTTGCTACAAAAGGACCATGCAATGCAGACACATGAATCATCGAGAAAGGAATACGAGTCGACAAGTTTCCGAATCCAGAATCTAGAACAGGAGCTGATTTCCTTGAAGAAGAGCATTCAATGGCAGACAATATCAAAGAAAACAGAGACAATGTCAAGAAGCAAAGCAGAGGGAAGAACAAAACTATCTGATGTGGAAGGTAGATACTCGAGCAAGAACAGGAACTCACACGAACAAGTGACGGGGTGCATCGGTTCGGTGAACTTCTCCACTCAAAGAAACTATGCAAGTCGTCTATTTAAGATCTTCAGCGGAATACGTCTGTTTGGAGGAAGGAAACAGAAAAGGAAGTCGGGATTTCCCACCCTTTGGCGCAAGTCGATATATCAGATCAACCATCGGTTGGACCTGTAAATGAAAACTCATAACTGGTTTTTCAGCTGCTGTAAACTCAAGTGTGTTAAGAAGTAAAGAAAATAGCTATTTACTAAAACCTCTGCCTAAATTTTGCTTATTTAGCACTCTCTGTTTCTGTAACAAATTGGTGAAAGGTTGTGATTGGAATCATTCTAATTACACTCAGTTTAAACATCTAAACTTAAACTTCAAGTAATCCAAAGCAGTCAGCTTCATAAGTTATGTACTTTCTGTTTTACTGTTCTTTGTGGATATCCCATTGCCACAACCTTGGCTATGAAGTTTCATAGGAGCAAGATGTCAAATCTCCTAGTTTTAGATTAAAACTAACCCTAACCGTAACTTAGAATCAACTGCGAGGGAAGGATTAGTTAATCGATTACTTTGATGATCAAAGATTGTGAAGTAAGGAGGGCCAGTTCTTTACTCAGTATTTTAACAGTCTAGAATCAAACTAATCAAACTTACTTGAATGTTAAAGCATGCAACCCTAAATAAAAAAAGTACATGATTCCAATATTATTCAAATTCAACTAAGATTATAGGAAAATAACTTGGGCTTTTAAATATATTTAAATTTTATAATTTTAGGTCTCGACTAACCCTAACAGTGACAATAAAAGAAAGCAAATCTAAATGTGATGGAACTCTAATGGAAGCACGTCAACACCCTAAGCAAAAGACTAAAGTACCCTAACTTAAACATACTCTAGATGGGTAAAAATGGAAAGCAATCAAATCTCTTCTTGACAATAATTCATATCATTTCCACAAAACATGACGTTTGAGAAGCTCGAAAAAACATCGAAATAAGAAACTTAAAAAGTATCAAACGACCTTTTCTATAATAACTTAGTCTAGACCGTTAATATGCTTTGAGATTTAGAACGTGATGGGATCAAGTTCTCTCTTGTTATGATGTAAATTTCATAATTTAATAAGTCGTAGATTAGTCATTATGAAATGTGTCATTGTTATCTTATATGATCAAAATTTGGAGAAAGCTATGATTTTCCAGGAAAACATGGGACCCAGCGAAAATACGTAACAATTTTGCCTATATAATGTGGTTATAAGTATTTGAGATGTAATATATAATGTGATCAAATTAATAATGTCTAGTCAAGATGGCTGAGTTGGTCTAAGGCACCTTCAGATACTGGTCCGAAAGGGCAATGGGTTCAAATCCTATTCTTGACATTTTTTTCTCCAATTGTTATTTTTCTAATTAGTGTGTTTTTTATTTGGAATGTTTCTTTTTTTAGCAATTTTATTTAGTTTAGGATTTGGACTTTTTTTTGTTATTAATGTTTTTTATTGTTTAGTGTATTTTTTTTATTTGGAATGTTTTTTTTTAGCAATTTTATTTAGAATATTTGTTTAAAATATAGATAATTACAAGCTCATGTTCTTATTGTTGAAAAAAAAAACAATCATAGAAGCCAGTATATAAAAAAATGTTTAATTAATAAATTAATTATAAACAATAATTTGTATAGAATCGTAAAAGGTGGAATATAAAACTTTTGGTCATTTTATTTTCTAATATTATAATTTGAAAAATTTTTCTTTAATAATTTTAATTATAATATAAAATTAAATCAATAAAATAATTTAGTTTTAGTTAAAAAATTCAACATATACAACAAAATATCAGCCCTAAACAAATATTTAATAGCAAACAAAATATTAAAAAAATAAAATAAAGGACCCATATTAGGTTGAAATAATTTAAAAATAAAAATATTAAAATACCTAATTACTTTTTTATTAATATATAATTTTTTCCTTTACTTTTAATTTATTTATTTACAAAATATATCATTAACAATTAAYTATAA